TGTGTGTGTGTGTTGCAGCTTGTCCAGTGGGTCTGTATGGACCTCGGTGCCAGCAGCATTGCAAGTGTGTGAACGGAGCTGTGTGTCATCCCAGCAACGGACACTGCATCTGCCCTGCCGGATACTGGGGGTCACGCTGCCAGAAAGGTCACACATCTACACGCTTACACACATGTTACAGCTGAACCATAACAATTAATACAGTTAATACATTCCACTAACTGGCTGATTTAACTGCAGTCGAAATGCTAAAAGAAGCGGCTTCAATCACAAATCAGGAGTTTAAATGTTTAAAAATTAGCATTAAAACATATTGCAAATAGAGAGGAGGCGTGGCTTAGGACACCTTCTGTTATAAAAGCAGAGCTAGACTAATAACAAAGTTTATGTAAGTTAACTCAGGGGTTCCCAAATTAGGGGGTCACTTTATTTACAAATAGGGCAGCAAAAGGAAACCTACAATCTCCTCTATTGTGTGCTAATATTTTGAAATGTTACAGAGAGTCACATTCAGACAAGCCACGTTTAAATGAATACTGTATGTGCGATTTTGGTCATTTTCACTATCCTGAAATGCTGCACCAAGAGTAGGAGTTCAACAATAAATTTCCCTGTCCATCTACCTCCACTAAACAAACTAGCATTGTGTCTCAAATTGCATACTTATGTACTATTCTAGACCGTTATTGAGTACTAACACTAATCGGTTTTCCTGTTACATGTTCATGTTAGTGTTTGAATTTTAAAAACTCCGGTCTAGCCTTCAAACCTACCGAAAGGTCTGTTTTGTGTATCAGTCTTTGGATTTTCAAAATTAGTAAAGACTTGTGAATGTAAGGGCAGAGTTTTAGATTTGAGACGCAGCTCATGACAACAATCACGATGACAGCGCAAAGTTTTATAGAGAGACAGAGCTCGTCAGGGTGTAATTTCGCTTTGCATGAAATCGCCAAACATTTTAGAGTGCGACCCGACGAACAGCGATGTTCGGCTCTGACGTGCCGTCTATAGCGGACGTCACATTTAATCCTGTGGATGTACATTAGCTTGAAAGACGAGTGTGTGAACAATTTCAGGGTGTATCACACCGCCTCGGTGTGGATTATTTTCCTATAACAACTCTACACTTCTCACTAGACCAGTAAACCACTGCAAGGAATATTCCTTTGGTTTTTAGTCACTTATGTTACACATACATTTGTTACTGACATAATAAAATGTTCAAATGTTACAGTAGTCCTAAATTATAAATCTGGAATTTAAAAAATGTAGGGTGGTCAAGGCTTCATAGAAAATACATAATGTCCATTTGGGGTTGTTTATCCAAAAAATTCGGGAACTCCTGAGTTAAGTGAGACTCAGATTTTAGCATCAGTTAAGCATAATAAACCTCCTGCTGCTAATTCATAAACACATTTAAATTCCTTAAAATTCCTTAAAAAAAATGTGTGGCTAATAAAGCAAATCTGGCTCTTACTTTTCTAAAATTTTGCATTTTTTTTCCCCACACTTTAATTTATAGTTCAGTAATGTAGTTCACTAATTGAAGATTGCTTCTATAGCTTTGTTAAAATATTAGTAAGAATTAATAAATGCATTATTTAAACAATATGAAAAAAATATATATGTTGACAGATTCTCAACAATTCTAACCTTCACTTAAATCATTAAGCTTTAATTAGTAAATTTATTACTAATAAAAAATATTACCATATATATTTTTTGTTGTAGTTCAGTTCTAACAAACATCTTTAAGGAAACAGATTCACTGTTCTTGACGGGAGTGTGAAGGAAAAAATAAAATAAACATGTTTTCCCAACAACATTGTTTTTCAGTGTGTGAGAAGGGCACATACGGTCCGAACTGTTCTAAGGCGTGTGACTGTGCAGATGGCACACAGTGTGACCCCGTGAGTGGCGTGTGTGTGTGCGTGCCGGGGAAAACTGGACTCAAGTGTGACGCAGGTGAGTTTAATTTTACTAACGAGTGAACTGAGTTATGAGATTATTAGGTACTGAATATAGATATGTATCGACCCGTAAACTACCACAGCACTGCAAAAAAAAAAAAAGGAGCAAGTCAAGATATACTGAATAAAGGCAACGTTATCTAATATGAGATTATATAACAAACAGAAGACCATTAAACCTATTTCTAAACATATTTACTAATCAAAATAAAATTGTCTCATTCTGTTGGTAGACACTTTTGCTTTTTTGTAGAAATAAATGCTTGAAATGAGTAAAAATATCTAGAAATAGGCTGAAGAATCTTATATTTGTTTAAAAAACAATCTAATAAAGAAATATTAGTTGAATTTGCCGATACTCGAGATACTTGTACTCTTTGGAGTCAGACAGCAGTTCTCTGATATACAGGGTGTCTGAAAGGTCAGGAACCAGAGAATAAAACTACAGTTTTGTATTTATTATTTACGAAACACTCTACGCGTTCACCTTTACGCTCTACGCATTTCCTCAGCCACTGTATCATGTTTTTGTGGATTTTGCTCAACATGATTCCATTGCTTCCCGACTTTCTGGACAGTAAAACAGTAACGGGTTATTTTATAAGTTACTATTTATTCCTCTTACTGGTTTTCTTAACAATTTTCACTTTTTTGGTTTATGCAAAACTTCCAAAATTTTATCTAAACATTAGCTATGCCTGTTTTTCTACAGTAGGGGCAGAACTGTAACTCATGACACACACACCCACCCAAAGTGAGGCTGTGAGATACAGGTCTTCATCTTCGTACCCTAAATTAGTGTCATTAACACATATATAATAATATAAATATGTATACATTAAGTATTTATGCAGTAGTAAGGTGCGGCACGGCGCGCAGCAGAGTTTACCACACAAGTGCATTGTTTTTATATAACCGCACAGTCTGGAGTGTTTTATTCTGCTTATACCACGGCGATTTGCCGACAATTACAATGCCACGTGTTGTTCATTAATAAATTAAGCAGAGTTTAACAGTTTATAGTTAGATTTAATGTTGTGGAAGGTCTAAGAGACAAATTAGTTCCTGTTATCACCTACATTATAGATAAACACACACACACACGAAGCCTGACATTTATTTTACAGAGAAACTGGAGAACGTAAACTCCTCCATCCTGAAGACTTTCCTGTGCTGATAAACTTTGCAAAGCACTGTGACTGTTACAAAGCCCTGACACTGGAGACTCCTTCCATAAATGTTAAACGTTTCCTAAAAAAAAAAAGGTCACCACATCAATTATACGTTTTACTTTGTTAAACAGCAACATTTTTAAAATCTGTTTATTATTAGTCTTAGGTTATGTCGAGCGTCCGCTGTACACGTCCCTGTGTACGAGCTGTTGCTATAGAAACGATAATGTATTAGAAAGAGCGCATTAATATAAACCTGTTGTTCATGTTACAGCTGGAACTACTGTCTAACTACTGTCTACACACCTTCTGACCAATCAGATTCGAGCATTAAACCGTGCTGTGGTATAAATAAAACACTGCTTGAGGTGCAGGTTACTAAAGCAGGTCTCGAGAGGTTACTCTGTTCTCTCATTGATCTATCGCGTGTGTGTGTGTGTGTTAGACTGTCGAGTGAACCGGTATGGACCAGACTGCTCATTAAGCTGCGAGTGTGAGAATGGAGCGCAGTGTGACAGTCGTACCGGTCGCTGTATGTGTGTGAAAGGCTGGATCGGCCCCACGTGTACAGAAGGTAACGGCTACTACATTTACAGATTCTTCTTTATGTAGATTTGGTCTCTGCTTGTACACAGGATCTGAGCTGAACTTGAAACATCTGAGCTGTAAACTGAAAAGTTTTCAGCCTGTAACATGCTATGACTCAATCCTTAATCTTTCAATGAATCACTTTTTTTTTCCTCTGCTCATAACATTTAATGAAATTTTACAGGATTATTCCTATCCCTGATCAGAAGGATATTAGAGGAGTTTTTCAGAATAGTGGGAATTGATAGATTTTAGATTTTATTCTCAAAAATGAATAGAGCACATTTTCTTTATTAAATAGAAATAAGTGTTTTTTTCCCCCCAAACTGTTCTGTTCTTAAAGCCGAGTCTCCTCACAGTGAACATTTTATTTCTAACATCAATCAAAGACTAGGTTTTTGGTTGTATTATCTATGCAAATTGAGCGTATTTAGTTAGATGAAGCCTCATTTGCATGAATAAAAGTAAATATCTGTAAACTCACCCCTACAGAAAACACTTTAAAGAATATCATCGTAATTAATCTGGTCGAGTTAATTGCTATCTATTGTGTTACAAAACATAATCTTCTGAAATGCAAAATTATAAGTAGACACCATGTTGTACTGAAACTAGGGATGCATTGATATGGGTTCTGGTACCGGTACCGACCCGACACCATGTTCATTTCCTCATAACTCTTAAAAATATGCTCCAATACCAAGATCTGATACCAGGTGATGCTATGTAACATACAGACGACACGAAAGGACGGCATTCAATGCAAACTGTTCTCTGTGAAAATATCAAGAGGAGGAACTACAGCATCTTCTTACGATATAAAGAACCTGATGGACATCTCATGCTGAGTTCTGTTTTATCATTAGCAGCACACGCTGGCTAGGCGAGAAATAATGTCTACAATACATCTATAATATCTACAATAATATCAACAATCTATAATATTTAATATCTAAATAATTCTACAGACAATGCCAGGTGAGGGGAAAAGAACCGCTTAACCAGGAGGATGTTCTTGACGGTACCTTTTACTTACTTTTTTTTTAAGTTCTTGTTACTTTACTTACCGGTTTTCTGAAAAAGTGAAACAAAACTTGCTTCAGTGCTAAATAACGCGCTTAGAAAGAAGGAGAAAGCCTTTATTTGTCATGTATACATTACAGTACAGTGAAATGTGCATGACCCAGCTTGTTAGGAAGTCGGGGTCAGCCATGATACAGCTCCTTTCTGGAGCAGAAAGGGTTAAGGGCCTCACTCAAGGGTCCAACAGTGGCAGCTGGGACTCGAACCCATGACCTTCTGATCAGTAACCCAGAGTCTTAACTACTGAACCACCGCTTTAATTTCAAAATCAACTTGTTAACGAGATAAAGGACGAGAGTATGAACACAAATGTGCGTTAAAGGAAATGTGTGATCTGGCCGTATCGACAGATGGACCTCCACCACTGAGCAGCCGTGACAGAAGAGAGGAGCAGTCGCATCTGAACAACTCTTTATAGCGCACACCTTGAAAGAGAAGCAGGAAGAGAAGGAAGTGCACACATGGAGAGATCTGTTGTTCCTCTGGAGCTCCACTCACCTGCTTCAGCTCTGCGTGGAGAGGACGGTGAGGAACACACACTCATCACACTCGGAGGAGGGCAAACAGCCATTCGCAGTGTGTGTTCTGTAAGCTGCACTGACCCCACACACACACACACACACACACACACACACACACACACACGGGCACACAGAAGCCACTGACGACAGACGATTCTTTAAGAAAAACACTCGTGTGCTAATGATCATCTCATCTGATTAAAGACTTTATAAAACAAGGGCTGACTGTAAAGGAGAGCGATACACACACACACACGGCACTTTAACCCACATTTGTGTTTGTGTTCAGTGTTTCAGAAAGTGTTCTGTTGTATGATCAGCAACTTCCTGCCGAAAAACACACACCAATCAATCACATGAAAAGCCGTTCTCTGTTTCAGGACACTTGAGATTCGTGAGCTTTGTGTTTCTGAATTATGATTGTTATATTTGTTACACTGTCCTTTATTTATCTGGAGATTTAAAACAGATAAAGAGATTCTCCTGGAAAAGAGATCACACTTGGAATTTAAAATGGCTCCAAAATTCCCCAAAAAGTAGATTCACCGATGTGATTTAGTTCTTTTTTGCCAGGATACGCTTGGTGTCTGAAATTTGTATCTATAGATTTTTGTATTGAGGCTACGAGGCTAATGAGGCTAGCAAGTGATGGAAGCTAGCCGTTTAGCAGTGTGGAGAATTCACAGCTAAATAACGAGCGACTCCTCACACTGCATCAGACGTTATCTATAAATATTTTTTTTAAAAAGCTAGAAAGAAAAATGGTCTTCTCAGTCACTTTGCTGTGTTGAGGAAACACCACACACTCAAGTGGGACGTGGTAGAAGTGGTAGAAAATGTCCATTTCACCACGCGACGTGTTTCCCAGACCATCACACACACAAGATTCTCTTACGTGCCAGCGTCATTAGCCTCATTAGCAGCTCCTGCAGTGTTCCTCCAGCAGAGAGCATCTATAATCTATAGATAAAAAGATATAATACAATGAGCAAATGATACATAAACATTTAAATTTAAATATAAAGCAGGGAAAAGTTGTTGTTGTCGTCCATATTAAAAGAAGAGCGTTCTTTATTCATGGTGCTATTTTGCTCTCTTTAGAACGAGGCATTTTTATAATAATTTGCTCGTCTTGAATTTATAATCAGCAGTGTGATTATGTGCTATAATTAATAATAATAATAATAATAATAATAATAATAATGCAGCGACCTTATTTAAGGTCTAATCTCAAGGGTTTATTTTATGTTTTCCAGCAGTTTTCATTCTATATAAAGGTATCTGATGTATTTATGTATGATGGACATGTACATTTTTTTTAAAAGAATACTGTACTGATGTAAATAAATAATAATAATAATAATAATAATAAAAAAAGACACCACCAAAAGGATTTTTTTTGACTGTACAAAGTCTTCATCTCATTTTAAAATGTAAAGAAAAAACCAAACAAGACAAAATGGCTGATTTTCAGTCATTAATATTTTATAATTTCCATTTCATAGATACTGAAGCTGTACATATCTAAATTCCAATTCAAGCACAATGCAGTTAGCAATGCCTGCCAATGAAAGTAAAAAAAAAAAAGAAAAGAAAGAAAGAAAGAAAAAAAAAACAGAGAGAGAGTGAAATAAAAGGCCAAAGTGATCACAACCATTTATATGTATATATGTACAAAGGTCAAACTATATACAGATATCTGTCTCGACATACAGTATCTCTCCACACACGGGTGGAAATGTAAGCTTGCCGTTGTATACATTATACAGAGTTCTTCAAAATGCATATTCAGTGCAAATAGATGCTCATCATCATCATCATCATCATCATCATCATCATCATCATCATGTCTATCAAATCAGGGCAATGAAGAATGCTAAAAAAATAAAATCCCCCCCTTTTTCTTTTTAAACCTCGCCTTTATCCCTTTAAAATACTGAACATAAAAAATAATTTCTCAGCAAACAGCAGATGAGGCTTTAAGCGCTCTTCCTCTATCTACAGGTCTGATTTGAGATAATCACAAAATCAACATCAGTGATGTGATTAATTTAAAAAAAACAAACAAAAAAAAAAAAAACCAAAAGGCCATGCTCTCTCCGTTTCCACTGTGGGGTATCAGAAAGTAAAAAGGTGTTTCATGTAGAAACATTAAAGCACTGTTGTGGGTAAATGCTGCCCTGGGAGATGAGAAGCACAACACGTTTCCCTAGTGAACAAGTTCGACAGCAAGCGAGTACCACTGATGAGTTTTTATTTTTATTTTTATTTATTTTTTCAAATGCAGTACTTACTCATGATCACGCGTGGCGCTAGTGCACTACAGAAGGCTGTACTAATTTTCCCACCGCAGACGAACACACAGTAATGCCCTTCTTTCCTGAGAGAATCTCTAACACAGAAACAGGGCGACGCCATAAAACGCACAAAGAAACGAGACGTTTGACGTTTCCACAAATTTAAAAAAAAAACAAAAAAAAAACACCACACATATTAATACATCAACATCTGGTAGTTTTGTCTTTTTTTATTGTAATAAATTTAACGATTCGGAATCGGCTTCCACAACGTCCTAATTTCAAACACAGGCGCTACACACAGCAGGAGAACCGGATCTACTGTATGGAGCACAGTCATGTGTACCGTCTAAAACTAAACTCAACAGCTAGACAGCTAAAAGATTTGACCTAAATCTTAATCTAATCTAATATTTATAACTACTCATTTCCAAACAAATATCAACATTCGTCTAATTTTAAAGTCGACCGATTTGAGTTCAGCTTGACTGGGATCAAACATCCTCTGATAAAATAACTGATAAAGTGCAATAAATGATATCAATGACACAAAGCTGCTCCACTTTTCTAACAGATGATGTACGCGTTCATTTCCCATCACTTGATAAAGCAATTTAACTCTAAAATAAATCCTGTGCGCTTAGAACACTGATGGTTCGTTCAAGTCACGTCGGAAAGATCGTATTTACGAGGTGAACGCACATGAACGCCACCGCAAAGTCGGAATTACGAGTAGGAAACTCGGGATATTCTTTGGGGGCGTGTCAGTAAGAAAACATGGTGGAATCAAAGGATCTGTAGCTGACGGTAAATTTGTTGAAATTGAATGTATTTAGCAGTGGTGTGTCTTTGTCAGGCTTTTTTATTTACAATTAAACAAGCTAACTGCCTGCACAAAATACGATAGCATTGTACAATTACGATATAATATGTAACGATAACGTTAACGTTGGCTTCATAAATTGATTAAAAACATAAAAAAGCAAAACACCGCTGATGCGCATTCTTTGTTCTTCATTTTCTAGAAGTAGAGTTAAAAAAAAAACCTTGCTGTTTTTTTTGTAGTTAATTTAGAGAAGGCAAACCGCCATCTTGCTCCGACCAAAGTGACTTGAACGCACCTGACGTCATAATCACGACTTCTCAACTCGTAAATACGAACTTCCCAGGAGGACTTGAACGCACAGTGAGACACGGTCGATTCGTTCACGATAAACTTGCACACGTGACATGGACTGACCGGGTTTCTGGTGAAAGCTTTGCAAAGCGAGACTTACGCAAACGAATATCTGTCTCAGGGGAAAAACACTGTCCACATAAATCCATCGACCATGTTTAAAAAAAAACCAAAAACAAAAAAAACCTTACATATATACACACACAAGCACACGAGTCATGTAATGGCTGAAGAGAGCGCATGCTTCGGGGAAAATGGCCGTCATGCAGTTTGGAAAAGTTTCATTATGATTTTGTTCATTGGTCGTTTTCCTTCAAATTCATCTGAACTCGGTGGTACATGGTATAGAAAAGATCTAATGACATTCCTAACATACAGGGTGCGAATGTATATATATGCGTTTATATCTATATGGCTACGTATCTTGGCCAGAGTGAGTATACAGTATACATGAGAGGACAGATATACATGATATGATTATAGAGTAAGTAAATAACAGGAAGTACATGCTGTTAAATGAGATACAGTGAGACGTTAGAGATGGAGCTGGGATATATCTTTGGCTTTAGCCACGTGTAATGACGCCGGATCGTAAACAGTAACGTCCAGCGCCTAGAAGTGAGAGACAGCATGCGCTCGTATGCACTTAAACACATTCAAACGCGCATCACGCTCCTGAACGTACGCTCGCATGCGGCAGGCGAGGGATGTAACGCCGCCCGACAGTCTGCCACGTCAGCACACACAGCAGACTGACACACAAACGCAGAGTTCCAGTTATAGGATTTCATTTATTTATTTATTCATTAATGTTTGCCAGACTGCAGAAATACAGCAAACTGGATTTGAGAAATAATTCCATGGCATTAGGATTACTGCTGCTCTGAGGCGGGATTGTATTTCAGGGCCATTCGTCAGGAAACGCACGAAGAGGAAAGAAAAAAAAACAAAAATAAAATAAAAAACCAAAGATGATGCTCGTATTTCTGTTTAGACACCGCTGCCTCCCATAGCCACTCCCTCAGATGGACTCTTAAAGTGCTGATTGGCTCATCTGCGAAGGGGGCGTGTGCAATCGTGACGCAGACGACACAGTGAATGGTTTCGGAGAGACAGACCTCATGAGTGACTATGGGAGATGTGCAACGAATCATGAACTGATCACCTAGATTAACTTAAGCGCTGCATTATTTATTTATTTATTTATTTATTTATTTTTACATATATATATATATATATTTTTTATTTTTGGTCAAATAT